ACTCATACTTCTATGCCCTTTGATAACCAAAATTACGTTTTTGATGCACCTATAATTTAAATATCAAAAACGTAGTTTTTGCATTTTCCGGATGTAACGCCGCGTACCTTTATTTGAATAGTCGTGTAACTCTTGATCTATTGATCGTTATTTATTTTTTTCGCTTTTATTCTTTTACTTTATTATTTCGCCTTTTTTTTTTTTATGCTTTTTCGTTCTTTTTCCTTTCTTTGTTCTCCCTTTTCTTCTATCTTTTTTTACCTTTTGTTCTTTCGTATCTTTCATACTTTTTTTATTTTATTTCTTTCGTTCATTTGTTTTTCTTTCTTTTCGTTTTTCTTTTTATTCTTTCTTCATCTTGGTTTTTTTTTACTCTTCGTTCTTTCTTTTGTTTCTTTAATTGCTTCATCTTTTGTGCTTTTTTCGTTCTTTTTTACCCTTTTGTTCTTTCGTATCTTTTGTACTTTTTTCATTTTTCTTTCGTTTTTCTTTCTTCTTTCTTCGTTTTTTCTTTCTCTTTTTCTTTCGGTTTATTTTTTCTTTCTATTTTTAATTTTTTTTGTTAGTCGTTTTTTTATTCTTCTTTTTCTTCATCTTGTTTTTTCTTTTTATCCTTCGTTCTTTCTTTCGTTTCTTTATTTTCTTCGTCTTCTTTCATTCTTTTATCGTTCCTTTTTTTCTTTCTTTGTTCTACCTTTTTTTTATCTTTTCTTTATTCTTTCATTTTTTATTTATTCTTTCCTTTCTTTTCTTTCTTTGCCTTACCTTTTTCCCTTTCTTTTTTTCGTTTTGGTTCGTTTCTTTTCTCTTCTTTTTGTTTCTTCTTTTTTCCATTTCTTGCTTTTTTATTCTCTCTGTTTCTTTTTCTTTGTTTTTTTCTATTTTTCTTTCTTTTCATTTTGTTTTTTGTCGTTAACTTTTCTATTTGTTTCTTTTTTCTATTTTCTTTGTCTTTTCTTTGCTCTCTTCATTTCTTTTTCTGTTCTTTTTTTCTTTTTTTTCTTCTTTTTTTTCCTTTTCGTTTTCTTTCTACTCTTTGCTATTTTTCTTTGTTTTTTTTCCTCTTTATTTTTTCCCTTTTTATTTTTTTATTGGTTTTTTTTTCATTTTTTTTGTTTCTTCATTTCTTCTCCTTTAGTTTTTTGTTAATTCTTTCATTTTTTTCTTTTTCTTCCCCATTCATTTTTTTTCTTTATTTGTTTTTCTTTGTTTTTTTTTTTGTTTTTTTTTTTTTTTTTTTTTTTTTTTTTTTTTGTTTTTT